CAACCCAGGAGGGTGGGCAGAGCATTTGACAGCCAAGAGAAGAGGGTGCTTAGGGGATCTGACTAAGGTAACGTAGGTGGTCAGCACCACTGCCCCTCTTGCCACCAGCTTTATTCTAAGCAAGGCCAGTCCAGGCGAGAGGAAGAGCCTATCAGCCAGCAGGGCGTTTGCTGAAGCCCAGGGTGGTCAAGGAGCCAAGCAAGGAGGGAGAACCACAGCCGCTACTGGAAGCGCAATGCTGCGTCCCCATGTCCAAAGGGGGTACTGAGTTTGCTTTCCAGCTGCCTAGGCCAAGCAGTGTGAGGCCCAGCCCTTGCCCCTCCCTTGCCACCAGGACACCAGCACCGGGTTTTCATCTCGCAGCACCAGCACGCCCCGCCCCCATCGGCCCTCCGCTGGTCTCACACCTGTGCGGATCAGGGTGGGAGCGCCCAGCCGCTCCCTGTGCTCGGGGAGGGCTACAGCCCACGTGCGCCCGCGGCAGCCGCGGTGACAGCTGGCCCCGCTGGGGCGGGCCGGGCCAGGAGCGGGGGTGGGCTCCGCGCCGCGCTGCCATTGGCCACGGGCCTCGGGCAGGGGGCGGGGCCGCGCCCCCGGCTGCCCTGTTATTGGCCGCGCCGCCGATGGGGCGGCTCCCAGCCGGGTTGGCCGTGCGGCGCAGAGCTGCGGGCGCTCGCCGGGTTAAGCCTGCGCGGGGGCGCCTAGCTAGCTCCCAGCTCCGCAGCCGGCCTGCGGGTCCCGACCGCTGCGCCCGCGGCCGGAGGAGAAGGCAGGAGCCGACCCGAGGCTCGGTGGCCGGCGCGGCTCTTGGTAAGGCGAGGGCGGCACGGGGTTCCGGGGAGGGAGGGAGGGAGGGCGGGCGCCAATGGGGACCGTGCCAGCTGAGCCAGGACTCTGCGCCCTGGCCCGCGCCTGGGAGGGTCAGGTGCGGCCGCAGCATCTCCCGTCTCAAACCCACCCTGCTGGGCGCCTGGCGAGCAGGCGGCGCTGCCCAGGGAGCCGGGGCTGCCCGGATCGGTCTCTGAGCCGATTAGAACGCAATGAAAACCTCCCACCCGTACCCCGAACCACCTCTCACTCTGTCCCCCAACACCCAAGCCCTGAAATTCTAAGCCGAGAAAATCCCCAACCGTCAACACGGAGGGGGCGCGATGCGCCAGCGGTGCCGCCTGCCACTCGGGCAGAAGATCATCCCCTGACTTTGATTCCCACGATTCGGGGTCCGCGGCGTTCGCGTTCTTTCCCGGCTCTTCACTGTCCGCCCCCCCCGCCCCCGCCCAACACACTTGCCCCTCCCTCTGTAGCAACAGGAAGTTAAGTTGGGCCAAATGTCAGTGGCCTGGCCGCCTACGGGTTGGGCCCGGGTCTGGGTCCGGGGCCGTAGCGGTGGCCCCAGGGGCCGCGGCGGCTCTGCTCTCCGCCGCGCGCCTCCAGCAGCCCGCGCTCACCCCAGGCCCGGGAGCACCCCCGCCGGGGCGCCCGCGGCGCCTCCTTGGCATTGCCCTGCTTGCCCTGGGGAGAAGTGGGGTCTTGCCGCAGCCTCTGCCGCCCCTGACCCGGCTTCCAGGCCGGAGCAGGTGGGGTTAACTTTATCCTAGGCCAGCCTCGCGGCAGAGCTGGGAACGGCCTTTGCTGGATGGGGAAGAGGCGTGTTGAAACCAGAGTAAACGTGTGTCTCCTTCCACGTTGTTTATTCTGAAGCCTGGGTTCTTCTAGCCGAAAGAGCTTTTATTCGGAGGCGCGTCGGGCCCTGCGGGGGCCCGCGGGGCGTGCGGACCCTCTTGCTGTCAGCCTCGCCTGCTCACTACAGTCTTAAGTGGTTTCCGTGAAGGGTGAAGTCACCAACCGGCCCCCTTCTGGGCAGGTCCCGCGAGAAGAAAGCCAGCCCCGCGTTGGCCCTCCGACGTTTTCGGGCCTGGGAGCTCGGGCACCTGTGCCAGCTCTATTCCTGTCCCCTTCGGGACCCAACAAGTGGGCCTCAGGTCTCCAGGGCAGCCCCACCCGATGTTCTGGAGACTTATTGAGGTAAGAACTCACCTTCTGGCAGAGAGAAGACAGATTTATTAAGTGCCTACTGGGGGACGGGTCCTGCCCTGTTGCAGCGGATTTCATGGTTACTCTCCAAAAACTCTGCAAGTTTTGCCCTCTGCATTTCAGGGATGGGGAAACAGACTCAGGTAGAGTAAGGGCCCAAGGTCACACGGAAAGTGGCTGAGCCAGGATTTGAACCAGGCTCTGCCAGAACTAAGTCCAGTGCTCCTCCTGCTGCCCCGTGGCTATGGAAAGTGGTGTGCTGTTGCTGCACGATTATAGCCCCACAGTGTGCTAACTGGAGGGTCCTGGCCTCTGAAAAGATGATGTCCAAAGATTCAGGGGATGCTTCTTTGGCAAAGCACTTGAACTGACCTGGGGTTAGCAGGTTGTTCAACCTGCAGCCCCCTTGCCCACCCTGTCCTTCAGTCAGGGTAATGGCTGGTGTTGGTCATGCTGTGATGGGGAGGGACTGCCTGCTGGTGTTTTGGTGCTATTTGGAGGGAAGCCTGCCTCTGCTGTTGACTTGTCTCACCTCTGAGTGTTGGCTTCTGGGATGGTTTAGGAGGACTGTTGGGTGAAATAACCCCTACCCTAGGACTGATTCTAGTTTTATTTTGTTTTTTGGGAGAAGGGCAGGTGTTAGGTATACTGGTTATGGTTGTAAGGTGGTTGAGATCCACAGTTAGAGCACATCTTTATAATAAGTGGCATCACTTTTATCCCTGCCTCGTTCCTGCTTTAGGCCCAGGGCTCTGGCTTTCTGCTCATCCCTCTCTTCTAAAAGAAAATCATGAGTAGCCTAATACCAACCAGTTACACTTTAGTATAAATCGGCTGAAGGCAGGTTGTCACTGTGGTCGTTGGAGGCCCATTCCCAGGAGCTGCAGGAGCAGAGGAGCGCTGAGTAATCCCTGTCTGCCTGTGATTGGGGTGTGTCTGTATTCTCTCTGCCCATGTCCACGCCCCCATCTGGGTGTGCCTCCCAGTCATGA